AGCCTGCCCTCCCTGATACCTTAAACCTAACCCCATACCCCGCATCAGGGAGACAGAGTTGAGAGACTTTCCTTCCGTCTCCATATTAATTGACAGCATAATAAACTTTTTTCCATCAAAGACCTGTGTACCACATTATCGGCCACTGTGGCATCCGGTGGCAAGTCCTTGCCAGGTCACAATGTCTGGCATCCTTTTGTGTAAAACGTCAGGGACAGTCATTTGTCAGGTTGCTGTGAGGCCAAACCATTGTTTTATCATTAATATTCTCAAGGGTTTAGAAATTAGACTTTCGCTGCTATTCATATCAAAGGCTTTTAGATTGAGTTCTACGTAATTTTAGATTTCTTTGGATGTTTTCTAGGTTTCAGTGGAGATATTTTGTAACAAGATTAGAGTTTACGTTGTTAATGAAACTTTAGGCTCTACAAATGTGTTTTAAATTCATGCGAAGAGCCTAATTCTGATCTTAATTCCTGTTTTTTTTTTTTTTTAAATAAAAAACCTTTCCTTCTGTCTGAATGCTTACCTTTTCAGCTGTTATTTAGGACTAAACGCAAAACCTGGTGGATCCAGTTTGGACGTCCACAGTTTTAAATGATAAAGAAGCCGAGTTTGAAAGTCTGTGGGGTTTGCCGAATCTCCCGTGTGATCAAAGTTTCCAATTTCACAATCTACCCTTCCGTCCAAAGCAGAACCCGAGGAAAGTCCAGTTAAGGGGTGAATTGGCATCTTATTCCCTCAGAAAAGAAAAACACGTGGATAAAATTCATGGGAAGGGGCTGGCCCAGTGGCACAGTGGTTAAGTGCGCGCGTTCCGCTTTGGCAGCCCAGGGTTCGCCAGTTCAGATCCCAGGTGCAGACATGGCACCGCTTGGCAAGCCGTGCTGTGGTAGGCGTCCCACATATAAAGTAGAGGAAGATGGGCATGGATGTTAGCTCAGGGTCAGTCTTCCTCAGCAAAAAGAGGAGGATTGGCAGCAGATGTTAGCTCAGGGCTAATCTTCCTCAAAAAAAAAAAAAAATTCATGGGAAAACACTGAAATAAACGGAACTCATTGTCAGCAATGATGTTTCTAAGATGAAACCGCAGCTATAATTTAGAAAATGTGGCTTTCTTGCTTAAGGTCAGGTGGATAAAAACAACATATGGAAGACTGTTCCTATGCCAAATATTTATCTGATGCTTTTCCTCATCATAGTACAATGACAAACATATATCCAGATTGGACATAGGTCACAAATGAGTGCTTTGGAGTGTAGATCCCGGATTATAGCCATCACTGGGGAATAAATTAAATAAAGTTACAAAGGTCATGGGTTCAACATTGAAAGGTTATTAATATCTGTTGCTGAGACGCACTGGCAAATCTTAAGTATTGATTTTGAAACCGGCAAAGGGTTAGCCATTGATGATTCAGTAGCTAGGAACTAAAGGCTTTTTTCCTTCTTGCAATCACTGATTATAGCTTTCAGCTGTTTAACCGCCCATTGTTAAGTGCGCTGATCAGGCACCATGCTCTCTGACTCCCACTGGACTCCTATAGATAACATCTCCCTGGAGCCTGGGTCGCCATGGTAATGGGTGTGTGAGCTGTTTTTCAGGAATCAGAATCCCTTGTCCACTTCAGGCCAGTTGAGACCACCAACCCATCGACTGGGCCCACGCAAATGTCTGAGAAGTGACCTTTTGATGTCAAATGGCTACAAACTCCACCCTCAGATCCTGCTTACGCCGCCATTTTGTGAATGGGTCCTATGAAGAGCCATAGAGTCTGACTACGCTTGCGCAGACCATCAATTCCCTCACCTCTCCTCACCTCCAACCACCTATCTCACACTTCAGACCCACCTTGCCTCCCCGCCGCATAAATATCCCTGAGTCCCTATTTTCGGGAAAGCAGATTTGAGACTCATGCTCTCGCTTCCTAACATGGCTGCCTTGTGATTAAACTCTCTCTGCCGCAATCTCGTCATCTCAGTGTTTGGTTTTCCGCGCAGTGGGCAAAAATGAACCCCGCGTGGTAACCATTTCTGTTTTGAAGTCCCATCTCGTTGCTCCTCTCTGCTTTGTTCTTTATAACACTCATCACGCTGGAACCTACCAAGTATTTTACTATTTACTTGTTCATTTTCCCTCTCTGCCCCCAGAAGATTAGCTTCACAGAAAAGGGCTTTCCTTTGTTGCAGCTAATCTCTAGCTCCCAGGAGTGCGGTGGGCATGTGGTCCATGCTCAGAAAATGTTTTCTGATTTAGTGACTCTCTGCCATGAGGGACCACCTCATTGAGTTTCCAGCATCAATTCTGAAATTATTGTCACCACGTAAAAATATTGGCAAGCTGAAAAAAACGGAAAGGGGTGCCGTCACGTGAAGGGAGGTGCACTCGTTCTTTGTTAGGCCGAGTAAACCAAGCTACAGGGATGGGGATGTGTCCAGACCACGTGGGGAGCAGAACTGGACCTGACACGGGCCTCCAACTCTGGATCCTGAGTTGTGAGTTGCGTTAGAATCTGCACTCAAAAACCAGATTTACTCATTTTACCTCAAAGGTCACAGACCACATAAAATGTCAGGGATTTGTTGGCCCTAGAATTGGGTGACTGTGCGACTGCATTAGAAACGAGGAGTCTGGGTCTGTAGCTCTGTTACAGACCTCTCTTTTTTTCAGCATCTTGGGGAGCAAATACTGTTAAAGGCCTGGGTTGGTGTTACTTAGGACAAGTGACTAGCTGAATTTGAGGATATATATACAATATTCCGCATGAAAGGTGCCTGGAGGACCATCTTAGGTCCTACAAAAGATGGTTATTTGTATTCTCAGAGGCATTTGCATTTGAGAGTTAGCTGGATGTCCCCACAAGATAAAGGGAGCAGCCCACCCACCAGCCTGCCTCCTCCTCCGGCCTGTCTGTGGTCTCTCAGATGACACTCAGTTCAGCATATGGGGACAACAGATACAAAATGGAGCCTCTATCGTTAGGAGGCAAATCCCAGAGGGTCTTGCATTTCTGCACACCTGTGAGCAGCCATTAGACTGCCTTCTCAAGGACCTTTGCACAGCACACAGCCCGGGAAGATAGAGACCACGTCCCCCTCTGGGGCAAAGGGCGAACAGCTTGCTTGTGGTGCTTTACAAAGGATTGAGGTTTCCCAAGTCGGGGTGCCCAACTGTGACATAGCCCACTGTGCACGCATCCTCCTCTTGGGCCATTCTCCATCACCCCCGGGAGCAAGTGAGGCTAGGGGGCGAGGAGAACTGATGCATGCATGGGGTCATGCTGTTGGCTGTGTGGGCTCGGACCCTCATCTGGGGTCTTGGTCCAGCATCCGTGATGCTGCGGGAGGCTAACTTGCAGTTTTGAGAAGGCAAAGTCTTAGAAGCTTCTTCCCCACTCTGAACAGATACACAGGCTGAAAACCATCAGCAGATCTAAGCTCAGCTCGATATGGTGTGGCAGACAGAGTAATGGCCCCCCAAAACATGTCATGTCCCTGGAATGTGCCAGGTTATGGCGTGAAGGGGAACTGAGGTTGCAGGTGGAATAAAGGCTGCTAGTCAGCTCATCCTAAAATAGGAAGAGTATCCTGGACTATTTGGTTGGGCTAATGTCATCACAAGGGTCCTCATAAGTGGAAGAGGAGGCAGAGGAGGGGTGGATGATGTGACAAGAGTGAAACAACCCGCTGTGGCTGGCTCTGCGGATGCAGGAAGGGGCCAGGAGCCAAGGCAGGCAGGTGCCTCTACAAACTGGAGAAGCAGGGTTCTGATCCCCCTACAGCCCCCAGGAGGAACCCAGCCCTGCCGACACCTTGGTTTTAGCCCCAGAAGACCCATCTTGGACGTCTGACCTCCAGAACTGTAACATAACGAATTGTTTCATGCCACCAGGTTTGGGGGAAATTTGTCATGGCAGCATAGAAAATAAGACACTTCGGATGTAAGAGATGCTTTTGCCAAGTCACATTTTTTTCAGTTGGCATTTTCCAAGCACTCTGGTGTGGCAGGAGGCAGAATTTCTCGTGCATCAATTCTTGGCCCTGAAGTTCCTCAGTGGTTTCAAAGCTCCTGCTTGTACAGTGAGTCTGAAGGATTTCCCTCACTCTGCTGGGGAAGCAGCCCAGAAAATGAAGGCAGAAAAGTGTGTGTGTGTGTCTCACTTGCTGACGCATGCTGGTTAGGAGTTTACCAAATGGGAAGAAGAAGTTAGGTTGGAGAGCTGCAGACCAGCAGTGTAGCTCTTTGTTTTATCTCTGTATAAAGAAAGGATGGCATGCAGGGGCAGCGCACAGAAGCAGACAGCGTGGATGGCCCTTAGCAGCACACTCCTGGGCTGGCTGCTTCGCTACCAACAAGACCATCCACTGTCTCCCGCCAGCGTTCCCATCCCATCACACGGCTGGGATCTGTGCAGAGTACATGTGCACACACATATACCACACTTGCACACGCATGCTTGCATACATGCAAACACACGTACACGACACACGTGCACACGTGTGTTCACTACGCACACCACACACATGCGCATGCACACATTCTCACACACCAACACATGCATGTGCATACAGGCACACACAAGCTCACACATCATACATACATACACACTCACACGAACATGCACACATGTGCACACATCACATACACACACTCACATACAAACACCCATGCACATACATGCTCACAATGACACACACGTGCACACACATGCACACACTCACACACATATACATATACACACACCACACAATGCACTTATGTATGTACTCACACACACAGCACACATGCATGCACAAGCACCCAGGCATGCACACGCGGCTCTCAGTGTGGAGCAGGTGGTGATTCTGCCTGGCCTCCCCCATGGAGATGCCATCTCGTAGCAGCAGAGGCTGGCAGCAACCAAAGACAGTGGGAGGGGTCCGGGGGAAGAAGCTTATTTGCAGACTATTACTGGTAACAATGTAGAAAGTCCAAAGGTTATTGTTATACTAGAAAAATCTTACACTTCATAAAACCCATGTTTATTAAAAAAAATCTATTCAGAAAGTCTGGAAAGCGTAATAAATATCTGTACAGCGGCCGCCCATCTCCAACATAAAATACACAGCGTGAACAAACGAATGACCTGTAAACATAACGCGGGCTGTAAACAAAGTGCCGAGTTGGGGGTCGAGGCGGAAGCGTGCTCCGTGTGGGGCCACGAGCGCTGGAGAGGCGGCATCTCTGCCCTGTGACTTCCCGGGCTCTGCAGCGACACTGGGTTCACTTCTCTCTTCCCCTCACCACGCAGGGGGGCCTTTTCCATTCTAGCATCTTTATGAGAGGTGCAGGGCAACAAAACCACGTCGGAAAGAGAACGGAGTGCAAATCAAACGTATCCTGTGCCTAAGAGGCAGGAAAGCATGAGGTACAAATCGCGACGCGCGGCTTGAGGAGTAACACCATTTAATAAACAATACTGGCTAGCAGGAAGTGCTACTATCGCCGAGAAAAGCCCAACCATCCTCCAAACAGCAATGCACACAAAGTTAGTTCAAAATCACGGACACTCTGACCTAAGGATGGACGTGAAATCTCAGCGCTGTCCAGTGTGACTGGGGTTGGGGAATGGTAGTGGGGCATCTGTGCAAGCTCTCCCACTGAAAGGGTGAGTCAGGTGTTTCTCTCAAATGGGGTGGGGGGCTGCCATGGCGCCAGGAAGGGACCCCCTTGGTGGTGGGTCGGGAGGCCTGAGATGCAGGGCTTGGATTTCCCATGACCAAGTCTGTGGTTCTTATGATCCAGAGGGGGTATGAGTCTATGTGTGAGCAGGGGCAGCTGTTGATCTCTCTGTGCACTTACACCATCTGTGCAAAGCCTACGGAGCCTTTCGTTCAGGGTGGAGGTGCAGCGTACAGGTGACCTGAAAATGTAAGAATACCTTTCTTCCCACACCAACTGCTCTTTACAAAGCCCAGCCACTAGCTATTTCACTTAACTTCGGTTTAAAATATCATCTCCTGACTTCTCCGTGGAAGGGTTTCAAGTATCACTTTGTTCTGGATAAGGGTGAGAAAGCAGAGGTATCTCGTGGACATTCAAGTAGAGTTGGGTCAGCAGAGCAGGTAAGAGCCAGTGGCCTCTGCTGCCACACACATCAGCCACATGCTAAGGGCAGAGTTTGGTACCATGGGAGCCTCATGGATCCCTTTGGAGTTCTGAGTTCAGAATGTAAGGCTGCACACACTGGAAGAACTGAAAGAGATGGTGAGCTGGTGCGATGGATGCACACACAGAATATCCACCCGCCACTCTCCCCGCCATGCTTTCTTATTTATTCCTCTCAGATCTCTCTCCCTCCCTCAGAACTCAGGGACCTGAGGCAAACAGACCCAGACCAGAGCCCCCGGCAGCGGGTGGGAGCAGACGTGCCTGCACAGCAAACAGAAGCTATAATGACATTTGAGGATTTCCAGGAGGGCAAAACCTGGGATGTCAGGACCATCTGGTTTTTCCTAAGTTTCTAACAAGAAATGAAATCATTCAGACCCAAAACAGAACTACTGTGGGTGGAAGTCTTTTCAGCCTTGGGAAAAAGCATTTTCTATTGAGAAAATATGAGCAACACCTCATGGGGCCGGTGGGAAAACAGGTGCAGGAATCTGTGCCCCATCTTTTATTCCTCTGGTTCTTTGAGGGAAAAACAAAAGCCTCGTGGAATAATTAAAGCTTCTGAAATGAGTTTATATTTTCAGGTCTGAAAACAGGAGACCAAACGAAAGAGTTATTTTTCAGTATGTGTACTATTTTCTTTTTTTTCTTTTCTGAGTTGGGTACTAGGGTGAATTGAGATGGAGGGAGAAACAATGAAATATTGTCTTTTTGGTGAAAAGCTGGCTGAGACCCACAAGTGCCTCCTGCAGCCCCATCTGAGGGCAGAGGGCTCCTCAGCGATGCTGGACAGCAGTCATGGAGCTGCGGGCGAGAGTCCTCCTGTCAGCCTGGCAGGTGCTCCCCTGGTTTGGGGCCCGGCCAGGAGGGGGTGGAAGGACACGTGTGCTCTCTCCTCCAGGCCTGGGCAGTGGCACTGAGCCCGTCACGATCCTATTTCACAAAGGATCCCACAGCCCTGCTCGCTCTGCACCATGCCCAGGCCTGTGCGCACACACCCCCAGGGAAACATTAAATATCATGGAAACATCTGGTAAAGAACAGATCTATCTGTGCAACAGAAACACAAAACAACACAAAGCACAGTTTCTACAAAGTGCATCGCTCCTCTGCTAACACATCTTTCGGTCTCCTCCAGTCCCCCGGGGTGATGGGCAGGGCTTCACATCTCCCTCCGGTCTCCGGTGGGACCCAGAGAGCGCTGAAGGGAGGCAACAGAGCTCAGGGTTTCCAGCGGTCACAGTTTTCCCACGGACCAGAAAAGTGAAAGCAAACACAGCAAAGCCACGGCTTCGGGTAAGAACACATGGGCTGACGCAGACCTCAGCCGGCGGGAAAGCCCAAAGCTCTCGGAAGCTCTGGGTAGGCCTTGGCGACTGCTCCAGCCAGGGACAGGAGCCCGGAGGAGCTGGTCCTGCAGCCCCGGCCCTCCAACGGGATGAGGAAACGGGCGGGCACAGGCTCCAGCCGGCTCCTTCCTGGGGTTACGTGCCATTCTTAGGAAACGTGGCTGCCAAGGCAGAGATTCTCATGAAATGTGGCTGCTCCTCCCCATTCAGATCTGCGATGACACAGAACGCCCAGCACTGCAGTTGAAATGAGGGGCAGGGACACAAGAGCTTTGGATCATTTGGAGGAAACCAGATGCCCACCCCATCATTCCACCCGCTGGCGACACCAGGACCGAGCAGCCGGCCCCGCCCAGGGAGGCTGTGCCACACACTGGTTGGTGCATCTTCTCATCGTAATAACTAGGACGCGTGTGCTGGAAATCTGACCAAGTTACTGGCTTTATAAGTGGAAAAAATATCTCTCCATATAAATATAATAAGCCGTAATAGTAAAAGATCTACAGAGTCGGAAGGAACCCTACAGGCAGTCAGCAGAGGGGTGCGCGGTGAAATGAGTCCTTTTGGTTTGCTCGCGGGGGAAGGAGGTGGCAAGGTTGGCACAGCGAGGCGTTGGGAGGTCCCCGTCCGGATCCTCTCCGGGCTGAGCAAGGAAACTAGACCGAGCCATGGCGCCCGGGCCTGGGTGGCGGGTCGCAGTCCCTCCAGCGGGGCAGGAGCGGGTCCCCGCCAGCATCAGCAGCCCAGTGCCGTGCGCGGTCCTGCTGGCCGCTATAACCTCGTGGATGTGAGTCTCTTCATGCCCCTGCGTTGAGCCAGGCTGGACGACAACACCGGCTCCAGCCGTGGGGCCTGAGGGGTTCTGTTGAGAGCAAAGTATGTGGCGGCCATCGCGCCCTGCAAAACGAAGGGAGAAGCCTGCTGAGCGCGGTGCCCACCTCCTGGGAACCTGGAGTAGGCACCTCTCTGAGCCTGTTTCCCCTCCACACGGCGGGAGGGGAAGACCCCTGCTGGGCCACTGGAGTGCTGAGTGCAGTGAGCTGGCTTCTGTCCCCAGCACACTATGGGGCCCTCCTCCATAACAGCGACTTTGCTCTCATTACCGCGTCCATCTACCACCCCATGCCAACCTCGCACTGTGCTTGTGACTTGGGGTAAATATTTCAGACTCGCATGGAGCCCCCCAGGATGAAGTCAAAGACCCCCACTTCTGGCAATGGGGCCAGGTCTGCTCTGCGGCCTGCTGGGTCTAGAGGAACACAGCCGTGACAATGGCCAGGGTCTGTCCACCCCCAGCTTTGCCATTCTGAGGAGCCCGGACTGCCATGGGTGGCTGGGTTTATCCTGGAATAGCTCTGAAGCCTTGGGCTGGTCTAGAAGGGGCAGCTCCTAACTGCATGACCCCAAGGCCTGCGTGGCTGGGGGCAGTCCACACTTCTCAGAAGAGGGGTCCTACCCCGAATACAGGGCCACCCGTGAGATGATGTGATCATCTGTAGAATAGGAGCCTCGGCAGGGTTTATGTCAAATATTGGAGCGTGGTACCAGGGGCCCACGGTCTCACACATTCTACTGAGATGAAGGGTTCACAGGGAAGTACTAAAATCGTAACCTAAGAGGTGAGCGTAATGTTTCTGGAAGGCTGTACAAGACGGGATGGAGCAGCTTGATAAGCAGCCCTAATGTGCTAATGTGGTATGTTGCCACAATAGTGGATCTGATACAAGACTGGCCTCAGCCCTCCACGGGCCACCCTGAGACCTGGGGGTGGTGTGGCCTCAGTCCTTCTCCACACAGGGCTCCAAGCAGCCACCACCAAACACGTGAGGTGGGACCTGCCTGTTCCTGCAGTGTAGACCCCCCCAGCCCTGTGGATGTCCGTCAGTCTATCTGGATGGCACAAGAGGGCACCAGCGCATCATGACTGAGGGGACCAGAAGCCACCGCCCTGTTCTAGGTCAGTTCAAGGACACACGACTGCAGTGACTCGGAAGTAATAGCTGTGCCACAAGGTCAGAACAAATAAGGTTGGGGGCTGTCAGATGGCAAGGTCTACCATGACACATTAAAGAAACAAGCAGCTACTCCGTGGGTGAAAAGCTCTTGATCCTGGCAATAAGACATCCTTGCTGACGTCTGCTCTGAGCACTGCTGGGCGCGTCCTGGTCTTTGCTCCATCTCCAGCCTGGTTCCATGGCCCCTAGGTCTCAGGACACCAATTCAAGAGGCAAAGCCAGGTTCCACGCTGCATGTGCCATGGGAAGTCTATTAGGAATATTAAGTGAGAGAGCAGCGTGCAGAGCTGGGGTCTGCAAACCAGGGCCCTTGGGCCCACCCAGCAGCTGCCTGTTTTTGTAAAGAAAGTTTTACTGAAATGCAGCCACATGCATCCACTTAGGTATTATCTAGGGTTATTTCTGTGCTACAATGGAAGAGTTAAGTAGCCGAAACAGACATTTGGCTGAAAAAGCCTAAAATATTGATTGTCTGGCCTTTATGGAGAAGTCCGTAGACCTCTGGTCTAGAATCGAGGGCTTTGGAACCTGGAGTTGGTCCAGGCTTGAGATTCCCTCCCTCTGCCTCTCACATCTCTTTCCATCTCTCTGTCTCTTTCTCCTCCTTCCCTCTCTATCTCTGTCTCTCTGTCTGTCTCTGTCTGTCTCTTCTTCTCCCTTTCTCTCTGTCTCTCCCTCTCTTTCTCTCTCTCTCTCTCCCTCTGTCTCTGTCTCTCTCTTTCTTACACGCACACAATGAAGCTGTTAAGGAATGTTAACAGAAGTTGTAACTTACGGAGTTTTGTGTGTCACTGATCGTAGCTGGCAAAATGTGTAAAAGTAAATAAATTAGGGATACCTATTTGTGCCTGTTATTGGTTCCCTTTCTGCCTACTCTGACTTCTTTAGGTTAATTGCGAGGGATCAGAGCAACTTTTCTGGGTCCCCCCCCCCGCCCACCGTTTTGGTCTCATGACCACCGTCGGTACCTTAACCAGGTGGACGTCTTGTCTGCTGAGCTGGTTTTGGGATAGGTACTCCCTGTTCACAATCCACGGGTGTTTCAGGACTTGCACTGCCGTCAGGCGCTGCTGAGGATCCACGTGGAGCATCTTGGATACAACGTCCTGTGAGGAAGGGAGATAATTATAATTGGTGCTGGTTCACAGAGTCTTGCTGGCAAAATTCCTTTTCTCTCCCTTATGGCAAAACCTCACCACTGCTCTGAGAGCGAGTCTTTGCATTTTGGGGTCAAATGTTTACTTTCAGGTTTATAAGTATGTGAATGGTTTTTAAATTTTAACCAGCACCAACTTAGCAGTTCACCCGGGGCTTGTACTGTATTAAAGATTTTATGTCTAAAGAGAAACCAAACGTGGAAATGTTAATGATGCGTGTAAGTTACTGAATACTATATTAGTAAAAATGATATCCTTCCAAACAGAGAAGCTGAAATAATGAATATCCCACAGATATAAACCAATTCATAACAATGTACATAGTTGCATTTTTATCAGGACTATTCACTAATATTTGCTACAAATAATCACCAACCACAGAACTGACACTCTGTAGCCATCACGTATGTGCAACGAGCTCCTGTCCCAGAGGTGATTCTCTCATTTGACTGTAAAGTCCTAACACTAAAAACTCCTAAAATTGACTTGAAGACAGAGGTCCACTTTACATGTTGCAACACACATACGTATGTGTACATATGTATACACATACACACAATCACACCTGTGATTTGCATCTGCAGAGCACTCATGAGAGCATCTTCACACGTGATGTACCTGTCCTTGGGAGTCAGCAGGATCATCTTTGGGGGAAGAGGGCAAATATTATTTTCCCTATTTGTAGATAAAGATGCTGATGTTTATAGTTGTTGACCCAGTGCCCAGGAAGACCCACGAGGAGAATCCAGACTCTTCCACTAGCCTACTCTCCTCCCTTTAGTGTTCCCACCACATTCGAAATGAAATGAAATGAATTGGAGTATATGTGTAATGTGAAGTTGAATTACTCAACAGAATTTTTGGTCATAAACCACAATAAAGAAATACTATGTACTAACACAATATCCTTTTTCTATAGAGCAAGGCAATGCCATTAAAAATTTGATAATATTAATCTTGGTAACTTCTGGAAACAAATATCTCTTGGAAGTATGGTTGTTCTCATTTTCCAGGTGTAAAAATGAAAACTGAGAGATCCTTATTGACTTGCTCAAGACAGTGCATGCAGAATGCAGATAAAGTAAAAACATAAGAATCCATAGGCTTTCCCTGTTTTTGGAGTACTGAAGGTTTTGTTATATGGTGAGCACAGAGAGGGAAAAAGGCAGAGAGGGAGCGAGGGAGGAGAAGATACGGTGGTGAAGGGGCAGGAAGAAGTTGGTAAGGTCCTGGGAGGCCCTGAGGCCCTCTGCCCACAGCAGCGACCTTGGTAACGCATCCTTGTCCTTGACTTCCCAGACAACTTCTCCTTGTCCCCAACTTTTACTTCAGAGATCACCTCCCAAAGAAACCACCAGCACCCAAGTCCTGCTCTGAGGCTCTGCTATGGGAACCAGAAGTAAGACAATTCCCATACCCATTTGAGACAGAGTGGATAGAAGGGGGCACTGGGAGTGTCAGGCTCTGACACATGGGAAGTGCTCACTAAATGCCAGCTGCCATCACCTCTGCCATCACCTCCACCATGACCTACGCTATCACCTCCACCATCCCCTTGGCTACTTCCTCTACCATTTCCTCCACCATCATCTCCACCACCTCCACCATCATCTGTACCATCTCCATCATCTCCTCCACCATCCCCTTGGCTACTTCCTCTACCATTTCCTCCACCATCATCTCCACCATCTCCTCCATCACCTCCACCATCATCTGTACCATCTCCATCATCTCCTCCACCATCATCTCCACCATCTCCATCATCTCCTCCACCATCATCTCCACCATCTCCATCATCTCCTCCACCATCTTCTTCACCATCTCCATCATCTCCTCCACCATCTTCTTCACCATCATCTCCTCTGCCATCACCTCCATTGTCTCTGCCACCACCTCGATCACCATCACCTCTGTCATTTCCATCACTTCCACTACCTCTTTCACCATCACCTCTGCTATCTTCTCTATCTCCACCATCACCTCCATCATCATCTCTGCCATTTCCTCCATCATCACCTCTGCCATCTCGTCCACCATCACTGTACGAGGTCACACAGTGATGGTGATGGCAGAGTTGGGATCAGGACCCAAGATCTTCTACTCTTCTTCCAGCCATTTTACATTAACACACGAAGTAGACTGTTGATGTTGCCTCTTGCTACTGGTTGGATTATGATTCACTTTTTGATTAGAGAAGAATTTGATGATCTGAACGAAAAAAGACTAAGTCTGATGGACCAAAGAAATAGGGCTGGTCACAAACAGTGCAGCTGCAGAGAAGCCCAAATGCAAAGTATTTTAAAATAACAGAAATACGCTTCTATACCAGAGCTCTACTTCATCAGTCTGCGAACATTTGGGGCAATCCTTTTGCAATGTCACTAAAAATGTGATGAATAATTTTACGTGTCCATTTGGTTAGGCCGTGGTGGTACCCAGTGTTCGGTCAAACACCAGTCTAGATGTTTCTGTGAAGGTCTTTCTTAGATGAGATTAACATTTAAATCAGTTGACTTTGAGTAAAGCAGATTATCCTTCACAATGTGGGTGGGCTGTCTCCCATCAGTCGAAGGTATTAAGAAGAAAAAAAAGACTGGAGTTCCCAAGGAAGAGGGAATTCTGCCAGGAGACAGCCTTCAAACTCAAGCTGCAACATCTACTCTTCCCTGAGTCTCCACTCTGCTGGTCTACACTGCAGATTTAGGACTTACCAGCCTCCACAATCATGTAAGCCAATTCCATAAAAATAAACCTCTTTGTCTCTGTCTCTTTCTGTCTCTGTATTTCTATATTTCCATATACACATACAACTATTGGTTTGATTTCTCTGGAGAACACTAATACACCAAGACTATAGAAAACGTGAAAAGTACTATAAAATTTTTGCGAAAATAATTTATTTTAGCTGAGTGGCTTAAAAAAATCTATAAGGATAAAATATGTATATTATTTATGTGAAAGCTGTCCTCCAGCTTCCTCACAGATAAAATGGTTACTATAGAATCTCCATACCTAAGAATTAAGAATATTGGGAAATGAACTCACCTTGGCTGCATCAGATATGGAATCCCAATTTCCCCCAGAAAGTGCATATTTCCCACTGCCAATCCTCGCCAAAATCTCCTCTGGGGTATCATCTGGTCCGTTTGCAAAAGGGGTAAATCTGGGCAATGAGAGAATTGATGATAATGAGCTTCCATTTTATAGTCCAAAATAAAGTTCACAATTTGATATTGCCACTTTGTTGTTAAAAACAAGAGCTTTTCCATTGCCGTTATGCTCCAAATCCAGGATTCGTGGTAAAGCATAATTTATTTCTTAATGCTATACCCATTTTCCTACATGGTCAATGCCCTAGGTTGATAAGGCAAGTGAAACAGCTCTGTGGACCCAATGAAGAGCCCTTCTGGACCATTTCTGGCTTCCCTGCTGACCGTGTGTTAGAGTGGCTTGCCCAGTGATTTGGTCTCCATGTTGATACTGTGCTATAACGATGAGAGCTGAGATGTGAAGTCTGAGAGATCCACGGGTTCTCTGATAAATTAATTTTTTGAGCCTCAATTGCAAAATGGTAGAATAATATACTCACAGGGCTCTGTGGCAGTGATAGGCACAGACACACATAACATGGGTACAGTACTTGTCCTATTGCTAGTACGTGACAGATGTTTGTTCCGTCACCCCATAGCACAAACCAGGGCATGTCAGTCTCTGCCTTCCTAGAAAAGGAATTACGTGCGATTCTAACAGCACTTCCCTTAGTGGCAAAGTTTGCGACTCTTGTTTTACGGACAGGCAAAGCGAGCTTCAGAAGAATGACAAAGTGGGCCATCAGGAAGGCACTGTGAGGCCTCCCTTCGTGTGGCAGACCTCCAGGCACGGCTCCAGGCTCAGGAGCTGCTCTCCTTTCACTGCAGACACTAATTACTCATTTATTATGAAACACCTCATGAAGGCCACAGAACACTGGTGATTCTCATTCATTCATTCATTCTTGCCTGCTTTGCCATAGGAAACAGCACTGTAGGATCTAGAGCACCCTTCTCTTTTCCCTCCACTCAAGTATTCATGAAACTTAAAAACGCTGGGGACCAGTGGATTTCTTAGGATTCTAGATCTTCCTGGCTGGAAGCAGCCTTAAATATTATGCAACGATCTCTTCTCATTCAAAAGTCGGGGAAGTGAGGCAATAAAGGCCAAGGATTCAGCCCGGGAGCAGAGCTCATGAGGGACTGAGCTCAGGTTGGAAGGAGATGCGCAGATGGCAGACCCGCCCTCTTTCTACAATAGCAGGTGTCTCGTGTGTCTTGTGGCCACCAGAGTCGGTCACAGAGCTGTTAACCGGCTGCTCTCTCCAAGATGCTGTCTGACCTTGAAGATTTTATGGGTACTTCCTGGCTCAAGAGGATGTTTTTAAGGAAAGATGGTGAGACCTTTTAAGAGAGTGGCGTCGTGCCGAGGAGAGAATGTGGACACGTGGTCAGAGGCTTGGGCTTTTCTTCATGAGCTGCATTCTCTAGCCCCAGTTCCCCAATTCTGGGGACACATTTTAAAGAAAATGCATGGCTAAATTTCTTATCCTTGTTCTCAGGTGTCCTGAAAGGCACTAAGGAACTCTGAAAGAGTTCACTGAAGACCTGTGAAGGTTTGCCCACACCCCTGCACTGGGGACAGCTGTAGGGACCTCTGCCTCAGGCAAGAATGCCACTGAATACTGCCATCTCTCTGAGAGTTTGCATTACCCCGCCAGCATGGTGTATAACAGGATCCCCAAACTCCAGATGTCACACGCCGCATCATAGCCTTGTCGCTTCAGGACCTGGGAGGGAAAGAGTGGAGCACAGATAAGCACTTTGTGAAGAAAATTCAAGCTCATGGTATGTTGTTCTGATGGGACCATGAGCACAGCAGGGTGGGGGTATGGGGAATGTCTTCAGGGAGACTGTCGTTTATTTATTTTTTTTATTCTTAATTTTTTTAAGGTATGTTTTGTGGTGAGGAGGATTGGCCTTAAGCTAACGTCTGTTGCCAATCTTCCTCCTTTTTTTTTCTCCCCAAAGCCCCAGTACATAGTTGTATATCCTAGTTGTAAGTCATTCTAGCTTTTCTATGTGGCATGCCAGCAGAGCATGGCTTGATGAGCGGTGTGTAGGTCTGTGCCCAGGATCCAAACCCGTGAACCCCGGGCCACTGAAGTGGAGTGTGCGAACTTGACTACTTGGCCACGGGGCCAGCCCTGAGATTATCATTTATTAAGGCAAAGGCCCTCTAATGCCCTGCAGTAGGATTTACCAAAGACTAGCACACACACGGGGAGCCACAGCTCTTGAAGGACCCATGGCAGATAGATTGAAAAGGAAGCATTTAATTTCTTAAGGCAGAAGAATTTTTTTTATTATATATCCATAGCATAAAATTTACCGTCTTAATTATTTCTAAGAGTGCCGTACAGCGGCATTAAGCACATCCGCATTGTCGTGCAACCATCACCACCATCCGTCTCCAGAACTCTTTCATCTTCCCAAACTGAAGTCTGTCCCCGTTCTCCCTCCCTCATCCCCTGGCATCCACCACTCCACTTTTGTCTCCATGAATTTGACTCCTCTAGACACTTCATATAAGCAGATCACACAGTATTTCATATAAGTGGATCATACAGCTTTTGTGTCTGGCTCATCACACTTAACATAACGTCTTCAAGGCTCATCCATCCAAAAAGGACGGGATTTCCCTCCTTTTTAAGGCTGAATCGTGTTCCACTGTACGGATGGACCACATTTCGTTCATCCATTCATCTGTCTATGGACACTTGGTTGTTCCCACCTTTTTGGCTATCGTGAATAATGCTGCTTTGAACGTGGGTGTACAAACAGCTGTTCTTGTCTCTACTTTCAACTCTTTGGGGTTTATATCCAAAACTGGAGTTGCTGGATTGCATGGTGATGTTTAATTTTTGGAGGAATGGATAAGACAGAAGAGTTGTTGTGAGTCCCAGGATGACATCCTTCAGTAGAGAGCAATTCTCTGATGTATTCATAGTTGAATAACAAGAAAGTGAGCAGCATGAGTGCTCCTGGATTACTGTAGATCATTAGATTTAGCAGCAATGTGGAGTCAGGAGAGCTGCGTTCAGTTTCCTTAGACATGACAGCAAGGATTCCAGCCTTTCCTCTTTGTATCCCTGACACCATGCACTGTGCCTGGAGCGTGGTAGTTCAACCAAGCATATGTGAATGAACCGAATGTTCATTGTCAAACTCTTTCTTCATAGTTCACTAGCTGGGCGATCTTCGAAAGTCACTTCAACATACCGAGCCTGTTTGTTTTCTTAGCCTGTGAAATGCAGCTAATAGTATCTACCGTGTCCACTTCACATGGTGCATGAGGATAATAGTAAGAAATATTGGTAAACAGCTTTTTCTCTTTTTAAAGATTGGCACCTGAGCTAACATCTGTTGCCAATCCTCTTTTTTTTCCTTCTCCCCAAAGCCCCCCAGTACATAGCTGTATATTCTAGTTGTAGGTCCTTTTGGCTCTGCTGTGTTGGACACTGCCTCAGCATGGCTTGATGAGCAGTGCCATGTCCGCACTCAGGATCCAAACCAGTGAAACCCTGGGCTGCCAAAGCAGAGCGCGCGAACTCAACCTCTCAGCCATGGGGCCGGCCGCAGTAAACAGCTTTGTAAACGGTAAAGTAACATACCAATTTAAGGCATTCCATAATCACTAAAATCTCTCAGACAGCTCGTAGACCCACCACTAGGTGCCAGCATGCCTTTCTCTTAGGACTGGCTGTTCGCTCTATTGCGCCCATGCCAGCACAACTCTGGTACAGTTTCATCAACAGCCAGAAGGATGCACACAGACTCTAACGTCTGTTTTCATTTTCCTGACCCGTCTCCACCCACTCAGCAATGGCAGCCTCTACTGTTCCAGTCTTGCACTTACGATCGTCTCCAGTTTGGTTGCTCTTCTGAAAAGCAAGAAACTGGACTTGTCTTCATAAACCTATCAGTGACTTCAGAACCTGATGGGGACAATCCAGGAGCCTGGGAAGGGAGGAGTGTTCACGATGCTGCGGCCGAGGTTCTTGGTTCTCTGAGATGAGGGGTGGGAGCAGAGAGCCCTTAGGATTTACAGGAGCTCTCATCTGCCAATCACTAGGGAACCCTATTGCTAAACTCCATAGCTGCTGACTTGCTTCTGTCATGGAAAACAGTCAGGAGTAAGAATTCTGGCACAAAGTCCATAAACTTTGCCGTCTCTCTCAGTGCCGTCGTAGGTAGATTTCTGATCATAGATGACCCCTTAGCCCCCTTCCTGAATATAGGAGACCGAAGGCACAATTTCTCACTGTAACTCCTAACAACTATGTAGATTTAATCCACCCAGTCTACAGCGCCATGACAATTTTACAGGAAAACGTCACCATTACAAATTTTACAAAAAGGAAAATAAAATGGTAAAATAGCTGTGTTTCAGCAAGATCAGTGGCTGATTCAAAAAAGACTGAAGCTTCTCGTTCTAACATCACTGCTGAACTAACTCAAAATGCCTCTAATCTACCCAACAATCTGGTTACTTCGTGAGTAGGGGAGAGCCCGCGCCCTCTCGGGGGACTGACAGCCTGTCTCTCCCTGGTTAATGGATCTTCTTACCTCTGGGGCAACGAAGTTTGCCGTGTAGCAGGGTGTCATCAGCAGCCCATTCTCGGCTCGCAGCTGCTTGGCAAACCCAAAGTCACAGATTCGGATGGATTCAGGGTTTCCAGACTCATCCATGTACAGTATGTTACTTGGCTTCAGGTCTCGATGCACGACCTGGAAAGGCAGCAGGAATCACACCTACTCGGGGGCCCAGAGCGGAGCAGGAAGGAGAAGGGGGTACACTCCCAAGATAAGGGTTTATTCTGGAATCTGTTATCCTGAGCAGGTCCTGCAGCAGGGAGCAATCAGCTTGGATGCTATCCCTTAGAGGGGTCCTCCCTTCTCTCTTTCTCTCCATTCGGGGACCCAGCAGAAACCCTTCTGACGGTGAATAGAAAATTTGAATGAATGAATAAATAAGCAGCTATCCAAGATGAGGGAGCAGCTTGCTGGGGTCATTACATAAAAGGAAATGGGGTGAGTTCAGGTAACACGAATAAAGATTTCTAAAGATAAGTATTTACCAGGTGCCTGACATGTTCCAAGCAAGGGGAGGTGCCAGGTACCCCTGTGAGTGACGCAGACCAGGAACCTCTGTCACGGGGCATATGACCAGAGGATGAGGATCAAGAAATCGCAGAGAAACCCTAAAGCTGCACCTGCACTGAGTGAGGTGTGGGTGCTCTGGGCACGAAGGACGGGATCAGCGAAAGCTGTAACAATGGCAAGGCCAGCGACACTTCAAAGCTGAGCAGCTATTTAGGACACAAAGTGACTTCTTCTGCAGGGGACAGAGGCCGATTGTCAGAACATGGGCGGGCGTGCCTTCCCGTAGCTTGGAACCTGCACGTCTCCATTGTCCTGTTGCAATCCAGTGAGAGGATGTAGGAGGGAAATTAAAGGGCACATGCAGGCAGCTGGCTTGGTTTACAGAGGCCCTGAGGGCAGGGACATGAGGGAGTTTGGTTCCAGTTCCATCTTTCCCCTCGTTAGATAGAGGCAAATCTGCAAAACCATCATCCACAGGGCTTCCTCTCGAGTTTGACTGTCCTGGGAAAACCAGGAGATGCTTAATACGCCCGACCGCCAGGTGAGCACACAAAATGGACCCGTGGTATGGTCCTGGAGGAATATCCTCCTGTGCAGAGGCGGCTGCATTTTAAAAGCTATGACCACAGGCACACAGCTGGCCAAGGAAGTAACACGTGCATCAAGAGAGGTGCTGAGAAGAGCTGAGGGCAGGAGAAGAGGTGGGGAACCATGTGACTGCCTCCTGGCGAGGCCAAGTCTGGGCTGAGAGCTTGGAGTCTGGAAGCCAAGTGCCAAGTCGGAACCCGGCTCGTTCACTACCTCTGTGCGTCCTTGGGCAAGATGCTTGACCTTTCTGTGCTCTAGTCTCCCCATCTGCACAATGGGCGTAATCCAGAGTTGAGGACTGCAGAAATGAAGAGCTTAGAGCAGTGCCTGGAACGTGGTGGGGGCTATGTGAACCTTACTATTACTGCCCTTTTTATTGACAGTATTCCTGTGCGTTGGTTAAAGAATTCAATTTTAAATAGGGCAAGTGATGAAAATTCCAACACTCCCCTTTATCAAGCCCAAAGCATTTTTTTTGCTATAAGTGGGCCAGGCAGATGTAATTTCTTTACCGGGCTCCTGGATTCACTATGTGTACAATGATTTTAGACACAAGAGGGATGATTGTGATACGGGAAGAAGCCAAGGATGACCTGAGTTCCCAGCTCTGAGCTCGTGAATCCTCCTTGATTTCAGCTTCCCGTGTCCCGTGTCCCCTCTCCTAAGGAGGCAGCTCTGGGAGAGGGCGGTCTTACCCCCTGGGAGTGGAGGTAGTCCATGGTCTTGGTGATGGTGCACAGGACATCACTGGCCTCCCGCTCTGAGAAGTACCTCTGCCGGAGGATGCGATCCAGGAGCTCCCCACCGCGCATCAGCTCCATCACGAGGTACACGAACTTCCCGTCGTCGTAGACCTGGGAGGTCGAGAAAGGAAGGGCATGCAGACCTCAGGGACTATGCAGCCACTCATGGCCACCCTGCCCTTGCAGGTCCCTTGTTCCTGGGAAGCAGAGGCAGCTCCAGAAGGGGCAGAAGGGGAAGTCAAGAAGCAGAGCCTGGGGTCACAGTGCTCCCCTGGGAGTAAAAACAAGACTTCTGTAGAAACTGAGCGAATGGCCATTGTAGTTATACCAGACGTGACTCTTCTTAGGACAAAAACAGCTTTAATAATCTGCTGTTAAGCAGGGAATGAGTCAGCAAGGCCAAGAGCTAATAATTGCATGGATGGGATTTTAGCTGAAATGAATCCTGGCCCTGCCCTGGCTGCCTGAGGGAGAGGTCCTCAGAGATGGAGCACGTGGATGCAGCAGCAGCTCTCCAGGGCAGAGCTTTTCAAGCTTTAATGTGCATATCACCTTGGAGGGGATCTTGTTAATGGTAGGTTCTGACCCAGCAGGTCTGCATGGAGCCTGACCCTGCATTTCTGACAGTCCTGGACAAGATGGAGCAGCCAGCCCCTGGAGTCCTGACAGGAGCGGGGGGCCGAGTCAGAGCGAATTTACCAGATTGCCGTTGTGCTTTTATTTCAGAAAAGCAATAGAAAAAGAGAGCTTTTCCCATACTAGCTTCAATCTCATGAACTTAAAAACAAAACTATGCTCTGCTTCTTTTCATGTCACACTGTGTGTGGACCAATCGCCCTGCCTGTGGGTGCCCAAGCGTGGCGAAGAACTTGATGGAAACGGAGGAAAGCACCTAAATACGATTACTTTTGTTAGTTTACAAATCAATGAATTTTCAGAACAAGTTACTAAAATAATTGGCCTGACTCTGAACTCAAGAAAACATGGGAAGTTAATCTTGGCGTTATTTATTTCCAAGTTTATGAACTGAAAGCCTCTGCTTTTGAGAATGTACACATGAGCACATCATGGATTTGGAATGGCTCATCCCAAGCATAACAAAAGTGGCCGGAAATGCTTAGGGAGCATTCAAATTAGTTGATTTCGCTTTGTGGATCCTCACACATACATAAAGAACAAAATGGCAAGGGAAGTGACCTTGCGTGGAGGTGACTGCAACCCAATAGGAATCAAACGAGGCTGCAGTTTAAGCTTTGTTCACATAAGGAATTTGTTTCAAGATCTCCCAGAACTGAACTGGCATTTTGAAGGTCACCTACTCCAGGAATTTACGGGGCCCGAAGGGAAATCGAGGCAGCCCCAATATCTTGAGGGTTTGGGTTCATGATTCTGGAATCATTCTGGAGTTTGGGGGTAAAGATGGAGAGGAAGAAAGCCTTTCTCCCTTCCCTGACCCCAAATACTCAGACTCTGGGCCATTATGGTATGCTGTGGCGCCTCCTGACGGCTCCTGTGGCTGGTTCCTGCCCCTTCCTTCTCCCAGAGAAAGGAGCACCAATCGCCCGACAGAGAAAGCAGAGGAAGCATTAAAGAGCAGCACAGCCAGAACTCCAGATCCGGAGTCTCAGATCTGACCCAGCCCAGCTCATCAACTCCACTCTCTCCACCTCTGTCATATTTAGGAACGACGAGGAAAAATAACACATCTGGATCAGAATTCACACCAGCTGTCTTTTCCTCTTTTATTCAAGCACCTTACGTGATTTGGGAGGAGTAGAGGCTGTGTGCTCTCAACGGGGATGCGAATAAACGGTCCAGCCGGAGAGGCTAACCAGCTGCCGTGTGATTCCAAGAGCATGCGGGAGAAGCCGGCTTCGGCACGTGCTCCCTGGACGCAGCGAGCAGTGGTCGAACCTGCAGAAAGCTAGCTTTCGGTGCCAGTTGAAGAAACAGAAAGCACAAGCGACACGGTCGCTGCACGAAGACCACTTACGTCTTTGAGGGTGATGATGTTCGGGTGCTGGCCATACCTCAGCAGAATCTCAATCTCTTCCGAGGGGTCTCTTTTGCTCTTATCGATTATCTGGAACAAACAGCATGGGATGAGGCTTGGGCCCTTTCTGCCTCCTCCTCCCCTCCAGCTCATGCTCAGTCAAGATAACTCATGATTGCCTAGAAATTCACTGCAATCCGTTCTTTCCCAACCTGCATAAGATCAACATTTTTAAAACAGAGGGTACAACCTGTCAGATATTAGTTTTAAGATATTACAGCGTTGAATGGAGAAGGGCGGGTTTGGGGAGCTCACGCAGGCACCACCCAGTAACGGAATGTGCTTTTCAACCACCATGAGTGGCTCTGGACTGGGGGCCTGCGCTCTCTGCTCCGTCCAAAATGACCCTCCTGTGAGGTCAAGGGCCTGGGTCTCACCAAGGACACTGGGCTGGCGTGGATGCTGAATCTGCTGCTGTGGCTTAGACATACAGACTCTCTCTCTGGTTTCTATCCCCTCCATCACTCAGCATTTGTGTCCCATGTCTTAGGATAACAGATAAAATCATTTTACCCCATGAAAACAGATGGCTTCTAATGACAGGGTGTCATGAATAAAAGCCCACCTTGAAACAGAGAGTCATCTGTTGCTAGATAATGGCTAAAACCTCTGGAAGTAGCTTCATTATGCCCTTGCCCCTCTTTTATGGGGATGGACCTGGTGGTGGTAGTGGACCCATTCATATGAAATCTCCAGCACATGTTGGAAACGACATTCAGTATAGAAGAGTCGTTCATACTGTTCTCGTACATTAGTTCCACCCAATTTTATAACATTCACTATTTGGAGAATGTGCAATCATTTTACTTCTAGAGTATAATGGAGGTTTGCTTTCAATTTCTTTCATGTCAAAAACTCTAAGTGGAACTCTGCATAAAACGCAACCTCTTTCCTTTAGATGAACAAAATGCTTGGGTAGCCTTCGACCCGCTGTTGGCGCTTTGCGCTGGTCACCCTCCCTTCCCTCCCTTTCACTGTTATGAAAGATTGCCATAAGGCCAGTTCTTCTCTCCCCATCTCTATCTTCTTTCTTCTCTCTCCATCTTGGTCCACTGCCAAGCTCTGACGACATCAGTGCCCTGGGGCTGTGAATCCAATGACACATGTTGTCCAACAGGCAGAAAGTTTGATTCTTATCCTTGACACAGCATTCTTCTCTTCTTGCTACATTTAATTCCACTAAAGTTTTCACACTGAGACCAGGATTACTTCTATCATTGAAATAAGTCAACAGATAATGCAACCTTCGAGAGGAGAAACATGTGTGTTTTATTTTTGCTTGAGGAAGATTGGCTCTGAACTAACATTTGTGCCAATCTTCCTCTATTTTGTATGTGGGATGCCACCATAACATGGCTTGATGAGCGGTGTGCAGGTCCGTGCCCAGGATCTGAACTGGCAACTCTGGGCCACCGAAGTAGAGTGTGTGAGCTTAACCACTACACCACCGGGCTGGCCCCAAGAAACATTTTTAAAGGCTCCTTCAATGGGAAAGGGGTTTCTTAATATGCTGGTGCAGAGCGGGCTGCTGGGAGGCAGATATCTATGCTGCTTGCATTGCATGTTGACCAACAGGGTTCTGGAACTCTCTCTGCCCCAGCTGCCTGCAGGGACATGCAATCTTTATGAGCTGTGATCTTCTCTTTGCAATTTGAGAAGATTAAAATGCATTAGTGGATTTAAAAAAAAATTAGTAGTATATTCTTTTTTTTTCGAATAAAATTTTGTGATAAAAGAGATGTCTTCTTAGCATAAATCTGTTTTATCACCCTCACAGTGGAATAGGGTGCAGGATAAACAAGAAAGAGGAAGGCTTTTCTCTACTGCCAGTGGCCCCGGGGGCAGGGCAGGTGGCAGTTACTGGACCAGAGGAGGGGCTGCAGGGAGAGGGTGTCCAACAGGAGCTGGGGGCTGTGGCAGGGGAAGGCTCATCTTCCTCCCCCCTCCTCCCTCCTGAGGTGTCTCCCCGTGGCAGAACTCACATGAAGCCAGAGAGCAGGCAGGGGGCCCTAATGGCCAACCTCCTGGCCTCCCAGCACAGGGAGGTGGGGAGGAGGGTTTGCACAGGAAATGAGACAGTCAGCCCAGAAGGGAAGTCCCCTCTAGCACTGCGGCAGAAGCAGTTTCTTACACCTGTCTTTCTGGCTTTCCGCCTTTCTCCCCTGGTTAGGGCCATCTCAAACCCAACTTGAGCTGACATGGGTCTGACACACAGCTGCAAATTCTGTTCACACCCAGTGTTTTGATCCTGACTGGTGTCAGCAAGTGCTGTCTGCTTTTACCCACAAATCTTTTTTTTTTTTTTCGCCAAAGGTAAGAAAGAAGAGTGCTAACAGAGACACTGAGCAGTGGGGCGCCATTACTGGTCCCTAAGCACAAAGCCGCAGTCTGTGCTGGGGGATGGCAGAGCCTGGAGAAATGTTCCGACGTTGTTGAGACACGTCAAGGAATGAATTTCTTCTTTGTGGGGTCAGTTTCTCGGGATTGTCATTGTTAGACTTGCTTCTAGTTCAAGCAAGTCCTGGTGGATCGAGTTCCTTGTTTTGACAGTAAAATCACCTTATAATCTTTCTTATGCAGCAAAACCCAGGGAGCATTCTCAGTGTACATGTTCATGAACAAGGCTTTCTCTGTGTGTTGAAGCTCAGATAATAATGACAGGGGCCAGCCCCGCGGCTGAGTGGTTAAGTTCGCGCGCTCTGCTTCGGCAGCCCGGGATTTCATTGGTTTGGATCCTGGGTGTGGACATGGCACCACTCATCAGGCGATGCTGAGGCGGCGTCCCACATAGCACAACCGGACGCACTCACAACTAGAATATACAACTATGTACTGGGGGGCTTTGGGGAGAAGACGGAGAGAAAAAAAAAAGATTTGGCAACAGATGTCAGCTCAGGTGCCAACCTTAAAAAAAAAAAAAATAATGACGGACCACAAAGGATTTGAGAGGAATGGTCTCGCTCTCATTCTCCTCTGGCAAAAGCCACAGAGCACAGGACACTGCCCAGAGGTCAGCCACCCACCATGGCTGGTAAATAAGTCTTTTGCATGGTGCTATGTAACGAGCTTTACATTTCCACTTTCTGTAGGGAGGTTAAGCAGGAATCCCCAGAAAACAAGTCTGGCCCCAACAATGGATGGCAGGCAACAATGATTTTCCTTCGCAGGTGAAACATATAGGAATGTATCAAATACATTTTTATTCCTGGTGGCTGAAGATGGGAACAGGACTGGACGGGACGTCACCACCATTAACACGCTTTTTCTTCTTCCTTTTTGGCATCTGTATTTCTTCATCTTCCTCTTCCTCATCTCTCTCCAGCACAGCACTGCCATCCTGGGACATTGACTAGCTTGGGGAAATGGACTTTGAGGTGCTAACCGAACAAGATGTGGAGTGAACTCACAGGCTTGCAAAACCCCCTGAGTAGGCAGGGTAGTTCCGCCGACTTGCGAAAGGATCAACACCATATTTGAAACAAGGGTAGGAGAGCATGTAATCACTTGTACAGACACCTTCTCCTGCACAATTAATTTAAACAAATGACACAGAGAAAGAACTCCAAGTTTTCCTGCCGGAAAAAAATTAAAATTTCCATGCCAATGAGTTTTCCTTCTAAAAATAAGGTCTATTCATGTTGAGCATCTGTCTTAATTCCACTGCTTTTTTGGTTGACAAATTACATGCACAGTATGAAAATGAGCACAGAAACACTCTCGCTGTTTTACTCTGTCTGTTGTGAATACAAATCAGGGCTCCTTCTCGGGAGAGCTTGCCCCAGCTTCAGTCGTGCCCCTATCGGCTACACTTTGTCACTAGAATTAAGAATTGGGTGACACAGACTCTTGCACAATTATAATCACTTTGTTTTTACCTGATTCTATTGCAAAAGCAAACGAAGGTATTTTTAATACTGTAGCAAAAATATGCAACTGAAAAGAACACGTGGCTGTCTCTTAAGGCACGAGCTTCCCTCCAGGAAAACTGGGCCACTGCTGATGCTGTACGCCCATCCCCTGCAGGAACCTTTCAGACAAAGAAGAAATTTAAAAAGTGGAACTCTGAATGAAGGGATGTCTGTGTGTCTGTGTGTTTGACGCTAAAATGGGCCAAGAGGAAAAGCAGCGATGACAGTAAAGCTCATTCAGTATCAGATTCTTCAGTTATGTTGTACTTCTTGCTCTAGCTTCTGGTTCTGTGGTCAATAAAATTCCTAAACGGCTGGATTGTCAGTTCCCTGAGTACAGGTTTGTGTTCTCTCCTGGAACCCAGAACTGTGTCTGCCATAGAAAAGCGTTCAATAAAAAGATCGTGTCAATGAATGAAAGTAACCCACTTACTGGATGGGGGAATCTAGGCAGAGTGAAATGTGTTCTTATAGACAACAAATGCTCTATTGAATAATTGTATTGTCAGCCCTGACGATAAGAAAGCCAACGAAAGGGATGAAGTGGTTTTGAATTGGAAGAAAAGCTCCCAACTGATATTTCTCTCTTTTAAATAACACTTAACCTTGTCACCACCAAGCATTATAATGGGAGTGTGGGGACAGGAAAAAAGCTAGGAAGCATGTCAGGGGCAGCAAGTGCCATAAAGAAAGGTACCCCAGGCCAAGGAGGATAGAGGGACAGGAAAGGAACCACAGGGTGGTCAGGGACCCTTGACAAGAGCAGAGACCTGCGAAGATGAGAAGGCAGGCACCCAGGTCTCGAGGAGGAAAGTTCTGGGCACGGGGAAGGTAAGAACTTCACCCTCACTCATGTGGGAGCATTTCGTGTTCTAGGATCAGCTTGGAGGAGCTGAGAGCAGCTGGAGAGGAGTGGGCAGGGGACAGAGGTGAGGGGAGGGGCTGGAAAATCATAGGGAATGGGGTGATGGGGCCTTGCTGCCTCCTGCAAGGGGTGGGTTCCAGCTGAGATGGAAAGCCACTGGAGGAGGGTTTGGGGCAGAGGTATCATGAGATTCAATGTATATCGTCAAGGTTTAGCTTTGGCTGCTGTGTGGAAGAGACGGTAGAGGGCAAAGATGG